CCAGATGTTGTACCAAGGAGGGGAGGAGGAAGAGATGCCAGGAAACAATAAGAAGTCTTTGAACCTTCCCTTTCTCCTGAGTCCCCTTAGACTGTCCTTAGACAGTTCTTCACATCAGAAAATTCTTACTTACATGATGAAAGAAGAACCAATGAAAGACCTCCACTGCTTCTCTGTGCCATTGGACATCTTGAGCTCATCACAGGTGAACTTCCTCTTCCCCAGGACAACTGTTTTTGAAAAGGGTATCATGTCCTCTCACTCTCAAAAAGTCATCTGTTTCTTTAATCATGAGTCCCTTGAAACTAAATGATTCTGCCTTAATAATCCATGTCACTCTCCTCTTAACATATCTCAGTCTGACTATATCCCTTTTAATGTGTCTTGGAGACAAAATTCTGCTGTTCATGAGTTGTATGGCTTTGGGCATGCATTGCAAGTCTGTGAACCTTGGTTTCTTTGTATAGAATATGATTGTTTTTTAATGTCCAAGAACAACATGTAAAATTGGAGAACTATAGAATTGTAAATGTGGAAAAAATCTAAAAAGTCTTAAAATTCCATCTCTTTCCAAATGCATAAATCCTTCCCCAGTATCCCTGGAATATGTCAGTTAGTGCCTAAATTCTTGCAGGAATAGGGAATTGAAAACAATACTTCAAGTGTGGTCTGACCTGAGCAGAGAACAGTGGGATTATTAACACCCTTGATCTTGACGTTGTTCTATTTAAAAAACCAAAGTTTGCATTCAGTTCATATGTAATTTTTGGCTGATACATATTTTTGGCCCATTTCGTACTTGTGCTCACAGAAAATCATGAGAGTCACACACACACACACACACACACACACACACACACACACCCTTTCTACTACCTTCTGAAATCAATCTTCTTCCTTCAAATACAACCGCTTGATTTTGTTTTCTAAATTGTTGCTTTTGTTTTTGTTTTCCTCCGATTAAGTAAATAATTCAGGTTTGTTGTGAAAAGTCTGAAGGGTTTTCACAAATATGAACTGAAAATCGATTATAATTCTATCCCAGAATGCACCTCTGTTATATTCTGGTGAATATCACTTCAATTTCTTTTCTCCTTTATGTGTATGTGTATCTACCTGCCAATGGACATGCACTCATACACACACACACACACACACACACAATTGGACATTTAGTTGCATTTGGGTTGACAAAAGCCCACTTAAATAAATTGATTTAAACAATGAAGAGGATAGTGAGTCTTTGTGGATTTGAGTCCAGAGGTAGGATGATTTTCAGGGTTGATTAATGCAGTGGCTCAGTGATGTCATCGAGGATCTGTTTGTGTCCTGTTTGTTCACTCCATTTTCCATGGTATCAGCCTCACCGATGCTGTCTCTTTCTCTTATGATATCAAGGTGGGTGCCAAACACTAAGGGGAATAGATGTGCACATGTCCATATCCAAGGAGAGGGACTGGGAGCCATTTCTAGAAGCTCTTTCAGGAGAGCAAAAACTGCCATCCCTACAAATTTCCAGCAAACATATTCTCCCATGGCACTCTCCTGAGAGGAATCACTGGTCCATGTCTGATTCTGATTCAATAACTGTATCCAGGTGATGGCATTACACCGATCAATGTAGGTCTTAAAGAACCAGTACAAGGGCCACAGGTGGAGTTAGCTTCTCCCAAACTCACAGACTGGAGTGAAGAAGGTCTAAATAGCTGGATGAAATTTACTAAAGGAAGGAAAATAGGTTGTGGTGAGGCCACTGCAAGGTCCACTATATCATATTACATGATATCATATAATAATAATGCTATTATTCTATGACATGTAATTATTAAATTACTTGAAATTATATGTAAAAACCTTATAGATAGGCAGGTAGGTCAGTAAGTGGATGGATGTAGAGATGCATAGATAGAAAGATGGATAAATTAGGTAGATAGACAGGAAAATAGGATCAAGTTAAACATGTTGTTTTATAACCTGCTTCTCAGTAACCATATTCTGTGAACATTTTTGCATGCCAATTCTCAGATTCTTACATCTTTTTAAATGGATAAATAATGTCCTGATATGATCATGACTAATGATAGTAATTGGCCCCTATTACGGAACAATACTATATTTTTAGTTCTTTTAAGAACATGTGTATGCGGAAAGAACATGTTTGTACATGCATTATGGCCCAATCAGCTGCTTGTTTCCTTTGATAAACTTATGTAAATATAGTTTCTGAGTAAACAGATAGGAAAATATAAAATTTCAAGACATATGGCCAGATTCCCTTCCAAGAAGACTATATGCATTTACTCTACTGCCAATATCATTTGTAACTGCCCATTTTGACACATATTTAACACAAATATACTTTAATATATTTAATATGATTTTTACCCTGCAAGTCTATTGGGGTGGTGAGAAATGATACTGCTTTGCATTTGTTTTGCAATTCTTTTGTTACTAGTGGGGTTGAACATTTGAATACATATGATTATCTCTTTTATCTTTGGCTTATTCTTCTATTGAAGTGCTCATATTTTATATAAGTGTGTAAATACTTGGTAAATGTTTAACTTCTGCTATATTTGTTGCACATTAATTATTCCTTATTTGTCTTTCAACTTTATTTATAGTGTTTTCACCATATGAAGTTAAAACATTGCAATGTAATAAATCTGTTGCTGTTTTCACATGGGTGGGGGGATATTTAAGTCTAAAATATGTAGACATTCAAACACTTTTGAATATCTCCATAGAGGTTCCTAATATATTTATCTAGTGATTTAAAATGCCATCTATATATAACTAATGAATCACTGAACACTATATCAAAAACTAATGATGTACTATATGGTGGCTAGCTGAACATAATAAAAAAGATTAAAAATAAGTAAATAAATACATAAAATTGTATCTATTTTCATTCTATAAATAAATAAATAAATAAATAAATAAAACAAAATGCTATATTTACATTTCAAAACACTGACAAACTATTTTTTTCAAAATAAAAAATGTGCTGGGTACCTGGAGTGGGAGGGGATTCTTACCTCAAAATTTACATCAGAATAAATTTTGGAAAAATTTTGGAAAAAATCAAACATTTAAATGTAAACAGATAAATAAATAAATTGAAAGAAACAGGAATATGTTTTTATAATCTTAAATTAGAAAGATTTTCAAATATGGTGTAAAACCCCAGAGCCCAAAAAGAAGAGACTGATAGACTTAAAAATATATTCAATGATTTTTAAATATGCATATTTAAAAAATACCCTGTCTATGCTACCTATAGCAATCTTTGCATTTAATGCAATCCCTATCAAAGTACCATCAACTTTTTTCAAACAAATGGAAGAAATAATCCTAAAAGTTGTATGGAACCAGAAAAGACCCCGAATAGCCAGAAGAATGTTGAAAAAGCAAAGCAAAGCTGGTGGCATGACAATTCTGGACTTCAAGATCTATTACAAAGCTGTCATCATCAAGACAGTATGGTACTGGCACAAAAACAGACACATAGATCAATGGAACAGAATAGAGAGCCCAGAAATAGACCCTCACCTCTGTGGTCAACTAATCTTCGACAAAACAGGAAAGAATGTCCAGTGGAACAAAGACAGTCTCTTCAACAAATGGTGTTGGGAAAATTGGACAGCCACATGCAGAAGAATGAAACTGAACCATTTCCTTACACCACACACAAAAATAGACTCAAAATGGTTGAAAGACCTCAATGTGAGACAGGAATCCATCAAAATCCTTGAGGAGAACACAGGCAGCAACCTCTTCGACCTCAGCCACAGCAACTTCTTCCTAGAAACATCACCAAAGGCAAGGGAAGCAAGGGCAAAAATGAACTATTGGGACTTCATCAAGATAAAAAGCTTTTGCATAGCAAAGGAAACAGTCAACAAAACCAAAAGACAACCGACAGAATGGGAGAAGATATTTGCAAATGACATATCAGATAAACGGCTAGTATCCAAAATCTATAAAGAACTTATGAAATTCAACACCCAGAGAACAAATAATCCAATCAAGAAATGGGCAGAAGACATGAACAGACATTTTTCCAAAGAAAACATCCAAATGGCCAACAGACATATGAAAAAGTGCTCAATATCGCTCGGCATCAGGGAAATCCAAATCAAAACCTCAATGAGATACCACCTCACACCAGTCAGAATGGCTAAAATTAACAAGTCAGGAAATGACAGGTGTTGGCGAGGATGCAGAGAAAGGGGAACCCTCCTATACTGTTGGTGGGAAAGCAAGCTGGTGCAGCCACTCTGGAAAACAGTATAGAGGTCCCTCAAAAAGTTGAAAATAGAGCTACCATATGATCCAGCAATTGCACTACTGGGTATTTACCGCAAAGATACAAATGTAGTGATCCGAAGGGGCACATGCCCCCCCCAAGTTTATAGCAGTAATGTCCACAATAGCCAAACTATGGAAAGAGCCTAGATGTCCATCAACAGATGAATAGATAAAGAAGATGCGATATATATATATATATATATATATATATATATATATACACATATATATATACACATACACACACACACAATGGAATATTATGTAGTCATCAAAAAAATGAAATCTTGCCATTTGCAACAATGTGGATGGAACTAGAAGGTATTATGCTAAGCGAAATAAGTCAATCAGAGAAAGACAAGTATCATATGATCTTACTGATACGAGGAATTTGGGAAACAAGACAGAGGATCATAGGGGAAGGGAGGGAAAAATGAAACAAGATGAAACCAGAGAGGGAGACAAACCATAAGAGACTCTTAATCTCAGGAAACAAACAGGTTTGCTAAAGTGGAGGGGGATGGGAGGGATGGGGTGGCTGTGTGATGGACATTGGGGAAGGTATGTAATATGGTGAGCTCTGTGAATTGTGTAAGACTGATGAATCACAGACCTGTACCCCTGAAACAAATAATACATTGTATGTTAATTTAAAAAAAAATCAATAAAAAAATAAACCCTATTTCAGCTTTGCACATGACTGTATTATAGCCAGTGAGGTTTATCCGAGGCACAATTATTGCTAATTGAAAAAAAAAAACCTATGTCAAAGACCAATAATAAGCTGGGAAAAATACTTGTAACTCATAAAACATAAAGGACTAAGTTCCTTACCACATAGACTCATCCAAATCCATAAGGAAAATATATGTGTAAAATACAGCTTCTTAAAAATCACAAAATATGCATAACCTCAGCCATATTAAGAGAAATGCATACTAATACTATAAGACACTATTTTTAACCTATCAGATCAAAAAATTCAAAAAGTTTACTACATTACAGTTTTGGCAGGGCATGGGGTAGTAGGAATTCATTGTTAGGAATATGAACCACTAGTGAGAATTTGGCAAAATGTATTAAGACCCAGTGATGCCTAGGATGTATCCTATAGCTGTTTCAGCCACGAGAGAAACTGTATGTATGATGGGACATCTACTGAAATATGCAAAAGCATTCATAGACTAGTTGAGTCACTTACAGGCCATTCAGTCAATGGGAGGCTACATAACAATAGAAACAATGAGATAATTCTAAGTACTGATGTGGAATAGTATCTAAGATACTATTACTAAGTAATTACTAAGTGTACTAAATCTCTAAGGTACTTTACTAAAGTAAGAAAAAGGAAAGGGAGGGCAGTACAGAGGCATAGCATCTACTTTGGGACCATGTGTACAAACAACAAGAACATTCAGCATCTATACTTACATATATGGGAATTAAATGTGGAGAGATAAACAACCTGGGAAGAGTGATTGTCTCTGGGAGAAAGAAATTGAATAGCTAGGGAGCTGGGACCGAAAGTGACTTACTGTTCATTACACAACTTTTTGGGTTATGTGCTTATTGCCTTTTCAAATATAATTATTTTGTAACATCTTTATGTTAAATTCCATTAAATGCTTGAGTCTGTTTCTGTATTCTCTATTCTGTTACATTAATTTATATTTCTAATGCTACATTAATTCCATTTTACCACATATTAAACAACACATATTAATACAGAGTAAGGCTTCTTTCTTTCCCCATATCTGTCTTGTTGTTAGAATTTGTCCAATATTACAAAGTGTTTACTTTTTATAATACATTTTACAAAGCTCTGTCATTGTTCAAAATTATTTTGCTGAGGCTTTAATTGAAAATAAATGAGATGAATTTTAATTTGTAGAGAACCAATAGGTTAAAATGCTACATTTTCCCATCCAAAACAGTGGTAGCCCTCTCTAATTATAGCATTTTCTTTTTTTTTTTGTATTTTAGAAATTTATTATAAAGCTTTGTCATAATAAAATAAGCAAGTACTAACTACATGGATTTTTTTTTATAAGCAAAATAAAAGTAGAGTAGAAAAATAGCATTAACTGTATTCTTTCTAAGCATTCTTTCTAACTGTATTCTGTTTTTTTTTTTATTATGGTATGTTAATCACCATACATTACATCATTAGTTTTTGATGTAGTGTTCCATGATTCATTGTTTGCATATAACACCCAATGCTCCATTCAGTACGTGCCCTCTTTAATACCCGTCACCAGGCTAACCCATCCCCCCACCCCCCTCCCCTCTAGAACCCTCAGTTTGTTTCTCAGAGTCCATAGTCTCTCATGATTCGTCTCTCCCTCTGATTTCACCCCCACTTCATTTTTCCCTTCCTGCTATCATCTTCTTCTTCTTCTTTTTTTTTTTTTAACATATAAGGTATTATTTGTTTCAGAGGTACAGTTCTGTGATTCAGCAGTCTTACACAATTCACAGCGCTGAGCAAAATAAGTCAGTCAGAGAAAGACATGTATCATATGACCTCACTGATATGAGGAATTCTTAATCTCAGGAGACATTGGAGAGCATTTTCTTTTATTTTCTGTATATAGGTTATGATTTTCTCCACATAGGTACTATAATTTCTCATTAAGTTTACCCCTCAACATCTTAATTTTTGTTGACTTGGTGTATGAGTCTTTTTATGTCACAGTTTTGGATATTTATGATTGTCTAATTGATTTGGATACTTTAAAAAACTACTTTTTCAGCCTATAGATTCTGCTGAATTCTAATATATGTATAATTTTCCTCGATTCCTTGGATTTTTATAGTAGTCATATCATCAACATCATCAGCAAAAACCAATGTTTATTTCCTCTTTGATAATATTTATACTTACTAATGTACTTATGCTCAATTTGCTTTGCTTGGTATTTCCAGAGTAATTTAAATGATATTAATAACAATGGACATTCATTATTTATTCCTGTTATTAATGGGAATGAATCCAATATCCTTTCCTTATGCAATATATATCTATTCATATGCTGACAGTCAGCATAATTTTAGCACAAATATCTATTAAAAAGTCAACCATGCAAGCTCTGTACAAGGCATGGATAAATAACGCACAGCAAAATGAACATGGGACCTATCTCCAGAATTCAGAAGGCAGAAAGATTAATAGAGGAAGACAGATAATAAACAGGCAAACAATAAATAAATATGAAAATAAGTATGAAATTACAGACTTAGGAATGCGCTGTGAAGGCCATGCTTAGGTAAAAAAATAATGGAGGGTCATGCATTGATCTCATTTAGGTAAAGTTTCAAGGGAAACAGCGTGTGAGGAACAAAGGCAAAGCATTCTTGGCAGAAAGAATAGCACATGCAAACTTTCTAAGGCAGGAAAAGTTGGTCAAGTTCATTAGCATGTTAGTGTAGCTAGAACAGAGGATAGAGTGTGTGGATGAAAGAGTAAACTGAAGTGAGATTGGAAGGATAAGCAAGACATAAGGGGACACAGATCATCCCAAGGAATCTAATTTTTATTAGAAATGCAGCAGAAAATGTCCTGAGAGGCATGTAATGGAGCTGAGGAGGTAAGATCAATAAAAGGGGAAAAACAGGTGGCTATGGTATCAGAGAAGGAAGTGTACTGAGGAAAAGGGCATGGATATTTGCACTGGATGCTGTGGAATGAGGCCATGAGAGGAGGACCTCGGTACCCATTGGATGAGCCACACGAAAGTAATCAACAACCATGACAAAAGCAGTATTGGTGTGTTAGTAAGACTCTAGGGATGGCTTGACTGCAGTTCCCTAAACCATCAGAGCTCTGACCATCATGCCTATAGTTTGTGGGTAGACAATCCACATGGACTCTCTCAAGCAAGTATATAACTTGGTCTCTGATTACCCCACATGTTCTCAGGCCAAACAAACAAAAATTGTGTTTGTATTTAGGAAGATGTGTGTATCATCACCTCCATGGATTTATAAAGCAGTAGGTGGTGGTGGAGAGAACATGGGTTTTGGAGTCAAAAGATGAATGATGCTAGAACACAGAAGAACTCATGATTTTGCAGTAAACTTTGGATTGGGAGAAAGGAATAAGAGAGCTAAAGACTATTTTTACGAGAGGTTTGTGGGATCCTGAACACAAGAAGACCTGCTATGAGGCATGGGTAACTCACTCTAGAAGAGGGTCACAGGGGCCATGCTCCCTCTGCTCAGAAGCTGTACCCCTGGTGCCCTGATACATTTGGCTCTTGGATTTCAGCAAGACCTGAAGAGCACCATCATGAAGCTCCAGTGGGAGCATGTAAACATGGCAGACACCACATGGTGACCACATGGACAGACTGGTCTGTGAGCCAACACCGGCCTTTGGAGAGTTCAAACGTTGTAGGCAGAAAGAACAGAACTAGGTCAGAGGGTCCAAAAGCTATGAGAAAATTTTAAGTTGTTTTGTGACACAGGGTTATGAGGTCTGATTATTCTTTGTTCATTTGAATTATTATAAAAAACCCAAGGGAAGCCAGAGCAGAATATCAAACTCCACAGACTACTTCATTTATTCAGCAAGTATGTGCTGAGCATCTGTTCTGGCTGGGCACTACAGAATGGGCAGACAGCCCCTACCTTCAGGAAGCTCACAGTAGTGGGAGAAAAGAGTAGTTAAATAAATATTACAGGATAAAGTAATGGTAGCCTGAATTTTGCTAAGTGAGCTCAGAAAAGAAGTGAAGAAATATACAAGTTTTCAGAGATGAAGTGAAATTTAGGCTGAGTAAATCAAAAGTCAAAGATAGGCATTCCCAGGCAAAAGAAACATGCTGGACAAAGGCACAAAGATGTGGTAAAATGTGGGATTTTCTGGGAACGGCTAGTTGTTCAGTGTTGCTGAAATGGAAGATGTACAGAAGTCAGCATTCAATGGAAGGAGATTAACTGACCCTCTGGGGGAAGTAGGTTTGAGCCAGAGGGTGATGGGCCCTGTGAAGCATTGACGTAAGGTAATGAGAGTCATAGAAAATGTGTTTTGCTTTGTTTTAAAGCAGAGGGTGATAACATCAGATGTCAGATTTAGGAATCTCTGCAGTGGTGCAAGGGATGGACCAGTCTTGCCTTGGTCCAGCATGAGGAAATGACATTGTGTGTTACAGTGATGACATAATTTGTAAAATCATTTACTGAGGGATGTTTTTCAGGTGCGTTAATATTACCCCCTGCTCATCTTTCCAAAGGTGTATGGAAAAGACTTAACAGGCAACCTTTCCATTATTTCTAAACAATGTCTGCCTCCTGCTATATAGACTGAATTCTTGTGGCCCTGTCTCCCAATTCGTATGTTGAAATCCTAAGCCAATGTGTGTTGGTGCTAGGAAATGGGGCCTTTGGGTGGTGATTTTGTCATGCTAGTGGTGCCCTCATGAATGGGTGAACCACAACCCTATGGAGTAGCTGCTATTATTTTTCCTATTTTACAGATTAGAAAAGCAGAGGCATGGAGAGGTGAAGTAACATAATCCAGATCACCCAAGGTGTTAATTCAAAGCAAGTCAATTGGGCTTCAGAGTCCCTGTTTTTAACCACCACATGAAGATCCTTCCCAGTGTGTAACCTCATGCAGAAGGTAGACCTCCCAGGCTCTCACTCCCTTCAGATCAACCTTCTTTATAGCCACTGAAGTGAGCATGGCAAAACCCAAAGCTAATCAGGCCTTCCCACTACTTACTTTGGTTTGTAACTCTCTATCACCCTCAGTATAATATCCTAGTCTCTTAGCATGAGCAGGAGGCATGTATGATCTGATTATCTCTTAGCACCACTG